GGAATCACTTTATTTTAATAACTCCAGTTTCATTGAAATTGTCTAAGTGCTGCTACATGAGCTAGAAGTTGTTCCACAGCATTCACTACAAGTGCAGAAAGTTCATGTTTTTACAGCAGTAACTGGGAGGCTAATAATAACCGAGTCAAAACACAGTGCTGCATTATTCCATCAGACTAATGAGTAGGCCCAGTAATGGCAGATCAATGATTACAGATGATTAGTGTTTCCGGGGATGGCCGTGACTTCAGTCCCTGTAAGTTGTTGCTGCTTGCTAACTTCAAGTCTCTCCCCGAAGGACGGACAGCTAAATAATGAAGGTCTACAACACAACAGCTGGAGCTGTGGATTTACTGGCTTAGAGGGTCTGATTCAGCACGCCTCGGGGTCGTCCAGCCTTAGTCAGAATGTCCTCCGGCTCTCTGAGGACGGCTGATGGAGCACCGACTCATTAACAGCACTGCAGATTTAGTCTTGTTAAGGGACCCTAATGGATAGATTTATCTCATTACATTTGGCACTTCATTGGATACACATACTGTTAGGAAAAGGCATGTGCACCAGCAGAAACACGTCTACATACACACACGCCTGCGCACACTGTGTAATTGTATTTTTCACCCAGTCCTTCACCAAGGTAGCGTAATGACAGATCCCAGTATAATCAGAGATTATGCACTGCTCAAAAAAAATAAAGGGAACACTCGATCATCACGTATAACACAAAGTCCTTATGTCAAGAACCATAAGCCTTCGTGAATCAATTTCAGCCTTCTTTGATGCAAATGAAAGTGACAACAGGAGCTTATGAGAACCAACGACAAGAAGGGACTAGTTTAACAGGTGATAGTCAGAGACTGTTGCTCTATCCATATCTGTCCACTAAAGGACCTCGTGGCATGCTCATGCATTCAGATTCTGAACTGCAGGCAGCTGGAGGTAATTTTGCAGGGCTCTGACAGTGTTCCTCCATAAACGAAGGAGCAGATACAGCTTTTGCAGCTGGGTTGATGCCGTTCAACAGCCATCTCCAGCTTTCTTTGTGTAACAGACCATATCCTGGTCTGGTGTCTTCTCGCTGCTCCTCAGACTGTGTTAGGAGACACAGCAAACAGTCTTGTGACAATACGTATAGCCGTGCCATTTCTGAAGAGCTGGACTACCCGTTTAACTTGAATTGGGTGCATCTACATTTTAACGCTACCAGTAGTGACAAGGACACTGGAAAAAAAGCAAACCCAGAGAATAATCAGTCAGTAGGCACGAGGAGAAAGTTATGGTCTGTGGCCACCACCTGCAAAAATTCCCATTTTAGGGGGTATCTTCTCATTCCTTCTTCAGTGCACATGTTGTCACTTTCATTTGCAGGTGAAATGGATTCACAAAGGTTCATTCCTGACTAGACAGACTGATATTCCTGTGGTTTAACTGACGTTGTGTTACTAAGAAACCTGAGAGGTCCAAGAGCTACTACACTAAAACTCTGTTATGCTCATTTAACTTAAATAACAAATACATATTATTACAAATAATTATTAGTGTTATAAGTAAGGTACAAATAAACAGACAAATTCTTTCTTGCACCTGATGTTGCACATTACAGTGTGAAAAAATTGAAAATGCTTCACACAGTGAAAACATTAAAAATATGTTCACAGTTTTAGATTTCAGTTCGTGGACACTTGCTTTTTTGCATGGTGCGTCCGGGAAAGAGGGAAATGGGTTTGTACCGCAAAAATACAAGACAGATATTTTTCATGATGACACGAGAGGAAAAG